GATGTGCCCGCGGGCGGGAGCAGGTGGCTTGGCGGACGCCGCGCACCTGCGCACGGGAGACTGGCCCCCGGGACCTCACTTCCTCACCTGGGTTTCTCTTTGCTAAGAAACATGAGTAATGCCAGGTTAATGGTAGGGGACATGAAACTAAAGACAACTGTAAGGAATAAAAGTCTCATTCATAATCCCACCACTTCGAGATTCTCGAAGTTAATAACTGGGTCTATTTTTCTTTTAGACGTTGTTCTAAACACTGCCCTAAATGTGTAGGTTTGTATTTTAATTTTAACCATCTGCATAATGTCCAGAATTTTCCATTCCCTTTAGTCTTTAAAAACTTAAAGTCTGGCACTGTGGAGCACACCTGCAATCTCAACATTCAGGAGGGTGAGGCAGGAGGATTACTGTGGATTAAGGCCAGCCAGGGCAACATAGCAAGACACTCTCGAAAAAGAAGAGGAAAAAAAGTCGTTTGATTCCACGTCTTATTCTAGAATAGACGCTTTGGCTATGGCGTTTTAGTTAATTTGTAAGGAGGTGCCAAGAAGTGGAGAGAATTGGTCCAAGCTCTCTGGAAAGGTTTTTATACTGTCGCTAACAGGGGGAAGTCTAGATTCATTACACTCTCAAAATAATGAGGTATAATCGGCTCGTATTTTCTAGCTTGAATCTGAGACTAAATAGTCTTAAATTGCAATGTAAATGAAATTTAAAGCCAATTTAGGGTACCTGAATAAACAAAATATATATATAAAATTTTTGATTTTTCATGCTATTTTTGTGGGGTTTTTGTTTTTGGTACTGGGGATTGAACTCGGGTCCTTGCCCTTGCAAGGCAGGCCACCAAACCGCTGAGCTAAATCCCCAGCCCTTGTCAGGCTATTTTTAAAAATTAATTTTATTAGTACATGTTGGATATCCATAAGATCACATTCATCACAGGGAATGTATACCTGTACATAATACATCTTTTTTCTCCAATCCCTTCCCCTCCCTTCAGCCCTCCTTCCCCTCTGTATTTACAAAAGCTTTGTTTCCATTTTTTCCTTCTATTCTTTTGTTTCTTTTTCCATACCCCCTTCCCTTGCCCTTGTTCCCTTTACCATTTGAACTGTCCTGCTAGTTTTTAACTTTTTAAATTTTTTTAATAATTGCACTCTCTTTACGGGACATGGTGTAACTTACACTTGTAATCCCAGCCCTCGGGAGGGCTGAGGCAGGCAGGAGGATTGCTGTGAGTTAGTTCATAGTGAGACCCTGTCTCAGAAAATCGAAACCTCTTCCCAGAAATAAAAAGCAGTCTTTCAGGCTGGGGATTTAGCTCAGTGGTTCCACCGCGTGCCTCACAAGTGCAAGGACCCGAGTTTGATCCCTGGTACCAAAAAAACAAAAAAAAGCAGTCTTTCCTGGCTTGGTGGTACCAGCCTGTAATACCAGTGATATGGGAGTCTACGGCAGGAGGATTGTAAGTTTGAGCCCAGCAACTTTGCAATTAGCAACTTAGATCCTGTCTCATAATTAAAAAAAAAAAAACAATATGAAGGCCCTGAATTCAATCCCCAGATAAAAGGAATGATGTATTCTTGCCAATTTGAAGTTTAAATGAATGTTGAAGTAGTCAAGAATAAAACTTTTGAGCTGACATCAAAACTTAGAATAGGTGTTTAGTATCACTTTCAAAGTCACGTATATTAGGAAACACAAAGATGCTCTCAAATTCAGCCTAAAGTATGTATAATGAAGATACAAAATCTAAAGGTCAGTATGTTCCTACTAATCCACAAAGGAAGTATCCCATAAGGAAATGGAGAAGCTGGGCATGGTGGTACACACACCTGTAATCCTAGCACTTAGGAGGCTGAGGCAGGAGAACTGCAAGTTTGAGGCCAACCTGGAGTACATAGTGGGACCCTGTCTCAAAAAAAAAAAAAAAAAGGAAGAGGAGAGAAAGGACCTGTGGATTCACAGGTCCTAAAATTAGACATGCTGATTTTTTTTTTTTTTTTTTTATTCTGGAAAAAGAGGCAGGTGTACTGAAAGGGCAGAGGTGGAAAAGACCTGAAAGTGGTGTCGCACAGAGGCAGAGCTGGTAATGACCTTTGCAGGGCTGCATTACAGACACTGCTGGGAGGGTGCAGCTCTGTGGTAGAGCACACATATAGGATCTTGGGTCCAATGTCCACAAACGTTTTTTTTCCAACTCGCTTATCAGAATTTAAACGAAGATGCCTACGGATCAATCAGATCATGAGTCTGCGTGATGTGTGCAGACTGTTCAGCAAGTGCCAGGTAGGTAAGATACAGCTGCCTGCCTTTAGGAAGCACTGAAGTTACAGCTGAAATAACATTCAGGGCCACTTTTAAAGACTTTGTGTCCTTGTAACTTGGAAATTATTATCAGAGCATAATTTAGCAAGGACATCAGAGTTGAGAATTGGATACACATTTTCTTTTTTTTTTTTTTTTCCACATTTTCAAATATATAAACATAATTTTCTAGGATGTGACTGTGAAAACTACAGGATGACCACAAACTGCTTTGTGAATGGAAATGGTCAGTGCCAGTGTACCTCCTACGGGACGCAGAATCCTGTCATTTGCACAACTTGTGAGTAAAGTTTCTTACTACATTTAAATTTATCTTTTTTTTTTAGTACTGGGGATCAAACTCGGGTCCTTGCAACTGCAAGGCAGGTAGCAGGACCACTGAGCTAAATCCCCAGCCCTCTTGATAATAGTTTTTTAATTGATGTGCCTTGAATTAGAAAGGATCATATTGGTTCAAATCAGAATTGTATTATTGTATCAAAATAATCTCACATCTGAGGCTCCTTCGACTAATCAAGTGTGGGAAGAGGGCAGTACGAAAGGATGTTTGGAATGGAAGTGAGTTAAAAGTATTTTTCCCTGTGCACCTGAAACTGCAGTTATTTCTCAATTGGACACTGAGCTTTACTTTTCAGTGGCCTCCAAATGTTTAGTGATGAAGGCGGAAATGACTCACTCAAAGTCCGGGAGGAGAGTGAAGCCTGAGGGAGCGATCCAGAACAACGACGGGCTGTACGACCCCGACTGTGACGAGCGTGGGCTCTTCAAAGCCAAGCAGTGCAATGGCACAGCCACGTGCTGGTGCGTGAACAGCGCCGGTGTGCGGAGGACCAACAAGGACACTGAGATCCAGTGCTCCGAGACCGTGCGGACCTAGTGAGTGGGCCGCCAGTGTTACGCTTCTCGGACTCCCTGCGGTTTTTCTGAGGGTAGCGATACAGTGTGTGAGTCAGATTTCCAAAAAAAAGGAAAGAGTGAAAGGTGAAAGTCTGTTGGGTCCCCTCCACTCCCGTGCTAGGTAGTCCACAGAACTGATGTCGTTTTATTCGTGGCCTTCCAGAGCACATTCTGAATTTACTATGTAGAGGTGTTCTTCCTCACATGCATGGTAGCATTCTAGATAAAACTTTCCTTCATATTTTTGCTGAACAATTCAGTATTTTACAGTTTAGTGTTAAATTATGTGAATAACTTAAGCTATTTATATATATATCTACTTAGTGTTTTTGTTTGTCTTTTTCAGATGGGTTTGTTGCATAGTTCAGGTTGGCTTTGTGCTCATTTTGAGCTCCTGCCTCAGCCTCCTGAGTGTTGAGATTACTTCATCTGTTAAAAAGTGAGTTGTGAGGGGCTGGGGATATAATTCAGTGGCGCAGCACCTGCCTGGCAAGTAAGTGCAAGGTCCTGAGTTCAATCCCCAGTACAAAAAAAAAAGATCCCAGGTATTGCTGGGTGTGGTGATGCATTCTTGTAATCGAGGCACTTGGGAGGCTGAGGCAGGAGGATCACCATGAGTTCAAAGCCAGCCTGAAGTACATAGTGAGCTTGAGGCCAGCCTGAACTACATAGTGAGACCTCATCTCAAAAACCAAAAAAAAAAAAAAAAAAAAAAAAAAGAGCTGTGAGTGCTGAGAATGTAGCTCAGAAGTAGTAAGGCCCTGATTCAGTCCCCAGCACTGGGGGCTATGTGGTGAGAAGCCCACTCAAGCTAGCCTAAGCAAAGACTTTACTGGAAGGGTCAGGCCCAAAGACTACTCTCCAGTTCCATCTTCTGAAGCCTTGCTCAGTTTTCTGCTACTCTTGGTCTTTTTTGTCTTTTTACTTGAACAGAGTCCAGCATGGCCACAGTGCCTCACTTCATGTGCCTGTAGATGTGACAGCCAGTGGGCCCGGGTCAGGATTATAAAAGGGTTCTCTGTGAAGGGAGTGAGAGTGAGGGAGAAACCATAGGTACATTTACTGCAAAAGTCCCTGTCCTGTCAGTTCTACTGTCTTTGTGTTTGGGAACTATAGTGTGAACTTATCAGGAAGGTAGTGTAAAAGACTCAGGTACAGACAGTTATCTTTGTCCTTTTACTTACAGCTGGATCATCATTGAAATAAAACACAAAGAAAGACAACAGCCATACAACCTTCAAAGCTTACAGACGTAAGTACGGTTACATGCATCCTATTATCCTCACACAGTTGCTTTACAAATCTTCTGTCCTACACCATTATAAAAACTAAGTTAAAATGCCATTTATTTCTGTCAAGTTTTTTTTTTTTTTTAAATAGAGTTGTAATAATAGTACGACGAGCCAGCCGTTATGTAATCCCAGTACTTGGCAGGCTGAGGCAGGAGGATTGCCATGAGTTTGAGGCTTGCCTGGGGTACACAGTCAATGTAAAGCCAACCTGAACTACAAAATGAGGCCCTGTCTCAGAAAACAAAAAGCAGAAAACACAACAATGATGGTTCTTGTGTATTCCCCTCACTCAGATTCATCACTTAACATTCTGCCACATTTTCTCTTTGTTTGTATGTTTGCTTTACAAGGTATAATAAAAAAATATGGTGAAAATTTATTGTAGTGAAAAGCAATTGCAATGATTCCCCTTCAAAATACTCCTCACTTTAAACATGCCCACTGTTCTTGCTACTTTCTGCAGCAGTTCTGGAAATCCTCTCTCACATCTTTAGTTGTGTTGTCCTGGCTGCTTTGAACTGACTCCACATATTTACTTTTCATGGTCATTTTTACTTTGAAGAAGAAGCAGGAGTCACATGGTCCAGATCCAGTGAGTAAGGTGGATGAGGACACAGCAGAATGTTTTTATGAGCCTGGCTTTTCATTGAATGGCACTTGGCAGCAGCAGTCACCATATTTCTTTAAGCACACCTCATAAAGATACTCACGAAGGAGGACTTTTAGAACTGCTGCAGAAAGTGGTGAGAATGCTATAGCCAAGCACGGTGGCACACATCTGTAATCCTTGTACTCCGGAGGCAGAGGCACGGTTGCCATGAGTTCAAGGCCAGCCTGAACTGCATAGTGAGGCCCTGTCTCAAAAAAAGTGAAAATCAAGAAAAGTAGCAAGAATGATGGGATAAATTGTTCAAAGAGAGGAGAAGTCTTTTTGAGAGGTTAGTATTTGAGAGGGACTGATGGCGATGTTTTTGTTGTTGTTGTTTGTTCTTTGTTTTTTTCCAGATAGGGTCTTGGTGTATAGTTCAAGCTGGTCTGTACTCATTATGTAGTCCAGGCAGCCTCAAACTCACAGTGGTCCTCCTGCCTCAGGGTCCTAAGTGCTGGGATTACAGGTGTGTGCCAGTGCGCCCAGCAAAATGTTCTATTTCTAATTGAAATAGCACTCAGCAGTTTTAGTATCGATGTATTATTCTAGTCTGAAGCAGTTCTTTTTTATTTTATTTAGTTAGTTAGTTTTGGTACCAGGGATCGAACTTGGGTCCTTGTGCTTGTGAGGCAGATGGCGGAACCATTGAGCCAAATCCCCGGCCCCTGACACAGTTTTTATTATGTTAGTTGCAAAGTGGCATAAAAATTTTAACAGCTTTAGTTCCGCTTTGGCAGTGCAGTACAGATATTGGAGCCATTCAGAGAAGATTAGCATGGTCCCTGCACAAAGATGAAATGCAAATTTGTGAAGCGGTCTATATTTTAAAGGAATTTTAAAAAATGACTGTAGTAATGACAGTTCTAGGTCTTGAGCTATCTGCTTTGTAAAGTAGTTTCTTAGCTGGGTGTGATGGGGCATACCTGCTAGTCCAGCACTCTGGAAGCTGAAGCAGGAGGGTGGTGAGTTTGAGACCAATCTAGGCTACATATCTCAGAACAAAAGTAGAGCTGCTTAGTATTGTGTGGTATAGATATATTTTTTAACTCAGATTTTTAAAATCATTTACAGTGCACTTAAGGAAATGATCACAACCCGTTACCAGCTGAATCCAAAATTTATTACAAATATTCTGGTAAGAGTTTTGGTAAATAAGCTTTAGCAGAAAGTTGGTGGAACAGTATGGGTTAGCCAGTGATTTTAGTAGTGGTTAAATGCATTTGAGTAGCTGTTTAAATCCTGGGCATTTAATATGAAATCCCTTTTTTCTTTTATAGTCTTTGAAAACCACAGTTTTGCCCTTGAAGAAAAAGATAGTGTCTCTTAGTATCCCTAAAACTTTAATGTGTCTTTGTACCCATAAGAACCCCTCTTTGTGACTGCTTTTTGCACATATTCTGGGATGCTGCTGTTGTTCCCTCCTTTCTTTATTTTTTTTACTTTCCTTTCTTCCATTTCTGTGGGTTAAGATGCTAGTTTTTAGCCAGTTAGCCCTTCTTACTCTTTCCACTTTGGTTTTTTTTTTTTTTAAATGCATCATAATTGTTTGCATTGCTCTGTTTTTACCTTGGATAGATTTTTCAGTAATTAGTGATGAATGTTACCATCCACTAATGGAGAAGAACACTGGTGCATGTACATACAGAAAATAAAAAATGGACTATTCCATTCACATTTTAATATAATTTTGATTATATTAATTTGTATTTTTCACACACCCCCCCAGTACGAGAATGATGTTATCACTATTGATCTGATGCAAAACTCTTCTCAGAAGACTCAGAATGATGTGGACATAGCTGATGTGGCTTATTATTTTGAAAAAGATGTAAGTATAAACTTTTTTTTTTTTTTTGTAGTTTTTTGAGATAGTGTCTCACTATATAGTTGAGGCTGGCCTTGAACTCATGGCAGTCCTCCTGCCTTGTCCTCTTGAGTGCTGGGATTACAGGTATGAGCTACCATGCCCAGCTTAAATTTCCTTATTTCATTCTGTGTTCAGCTCTCATTCTTCAGTGGAGTCAAGATCTTTCGTTACCTTATTCACCATATACAGATGAACCATAATTCCATGTGGCACTTCTTCAATCAAGTTTGTCCTTTATAACTAGGTGTGGTGGCTCAGTCCTATAATCCCAGCACTTTGGGAGTCTGGGGCAGGAGGATTGAAAGTTTGAGCCCAGACTGGGCAATTTAGGCACTTAGAAAGATCTTGTCTAGCAATAGGAATAAAAAAAAAAAAAGAAGTCTTACAGAGCTGGGGATGTAGCTCAGTGGGAAGGTCCTGAGTTCACTTTTTTTTGTTGTTGCTTTTTTGAGGCAGGGCCTGTAACTATAGGTGGCCATGATTGTTTTTCTTCAATGTTTTAAATCGTTTTACTGCTTTTCAACATAGGTAAAAGGTGAATCCTTGTTTCGTTCTAAGACGATGGACCTGAGAGTAAATGGGGAACAACTGGATCTGGATCCCGGTCAAACTTTAATTTACTATGTTGATGAAAAACCTCCTGAATTTTCAATGCAGGGTCTAGCAGCAGGTGTTATTGCTGTCATTGTGGTTGTGATAGTAGCAATTATCGCTGGAATTGTTGTGCTGGTGAGTACAGAACAAAAGAAACCAGTTTTATGTTCCAAAACATTAGTGAAGCAAAATCTTCATTTTAAAAATAAGTATAGCAACTGAATCTATTGCATTTCCAGTTTCTTTTTATATAACAGGCAGTTGAGGAACAAGAAAGAATGAAAAGCTTGTAGGTGAGCACCTGTCATAGGCCAATTACATTACTCACAAGCAGCAGATACCCTTCAGTTCTCCTTTCCATTGTAAATCATTCACTCATGCCAGGGTTAGTGCAAAACATCTGAACTCTCGGAGCATGCAGTGAGATGGAACAACAGGACACATTTTTTTGTTTTTGTTGGAGGTGGAGTGTTTTTTGGGAAGGAACCCAAGGCTTTGACAGTGCCAGGCACTGAAACGCATCCCCACCTCCAGATCACAAGATTGAAGTTAATGCAGAAGAGTTAAACTTGAAACAATTTTAAAATAAAAGTTAGCAAATTGAATTTAGCAGTGCTTTAGAAGTAGCTCCTGAAGCCAGGTGTGGTGGCACATGCCTGCGATTCCCCCAAAATAAAGTATGTCCTGAAGAAATGGGGTTTAGCCGAGGAATGTGAGCATGCGCTGCCTCAGAAAATCTCATCAACACAGCAAAATTCAGAAAGAGGTTCTTAAGAGACAGGGTCTTGCTGTATAGTTTAGATTGGACTCAGACATGCAGTGATATTCCTGCCTCAAGCTCCCAAATGCTGGGTTTATAGGCATGTTCCACCACGCCCGGCTTCAGAAAGAGATTTGAGTAAATGTGGGAATTTAATTTTTAGATCAGTGGAATTACTGCAGTTGTCTCTCCAGCTAAAGAAAAAAGAGAAGTTGAGTTCCTGTGTGACCCCAGCAGGGTGACCATGTTATCACACTATGTGACGGACAGCACTGCAGTGGGAAGGGTTTGCACTCATACCCAACATGAATTCCAGATGGACTTGTGTGTAAAATGTTTAAAAAAGATCAATCTCAAGAAGTTAATTTAGAAAATGTCTTTACAGCTTTGTGGTAACAGAAACCATGTGAGACAAGAAACCAAAACTCATGATTTTTTTTTTTTTTTTTTTGGTATTGGGGGTTGAACTCAGGACCTTGCTCTTGTGAGGTAGGCACAGTGCCATTGAGCTAAATCCTGAAAGTTTAATGTGTTTTTTTTTTTTTTTGGTACTGGGGATTGAACTCGGGTCCTTGTGCTTGCAAGGCAAGCATCAGAACCACTGAACTAAATCCCCAGCCCCTGAAAGTTTAATATGTATATAAAACCTTTTGGGAGCTGGGAAGGTACTCTGGGGTTTGAACCCAGAGCCTCACACATGCTAAGTAAGCAAACTGCCACTGGGCTGTGTCCTCAGTCCTTTGTGTTTTTAAATTTTGAGGCAGAGTCTTGGCTAAGTTGCACAGTCTGGCCTGGATCATCCTATCTCATTCTCCTGAGGAGTTGGGATTTTTTTTTGAGCGGGGGTCTTGGCAATGTCAGCCAGGCTCGTCTTGAACTTTTTTTTTTGGTACCCACGATCAAACTCATGTCCCTTGTGAGGCAGGTGGTAGCACCACTGAGCTAAATCCCCAGCCCTAGTCTTGAACTCTTTAGCTCAAGTGATCTGTCTTACCAGAACTCTTAGTGTGTGCTACCACACCTATCCAAAATTAGACATGTTAACATTTTGTATGGCAAAGATACTGTAAAGCAAAAACTATCAGTTATATAATAGAAAAATATATTCATGATGCATAAAATAAGAATGGATATTGTGCATAATATACAAAGAGATCTTACAAATTGATGAGGAAACCTACAGAATAGCTGTAGAGATAGATACACAATTTACAGAACAGTTTCAGGTGACAAACGTGGAAGATTCCTAGAAATATAATTGTCCTGTGAAAATGAAATTACAGGTGCAGAAAGTAAGCATATTCAAGGTTATGGATTGTATGGAGTATATTTTAGTTGGAGAATGAGGAAAGAGCAGTGTATTCATGCTGTGGAATATTTTGAATAATTTCAATCTTTATTTTTCTTCTTTTGTTTTTTGAGATAAGGTCTTGTAGTCTACAGTTGGCCTTGAACCTGCTGTGTAGCTCAGGCTGGCCTTGAACTCATGATCTTGCCTGAGTTTACTGAATGCTAGGATTACAGGAGTGTGCCACCAAACCCAGCTTTTGATCTATATTTGATGTGGAAGGGTTCCTATGATGTTGATATGGCTATTCAGAGATGAAATTGATATTCCATGTGTTTACAGATTTTTATGAAAGTATGGACAAAGAAAACACATCACACTGTTAAATTGCATTGAAAGTTATTATTTGTTTTGTTTTGTTTTTTAATGTGTTTGTTTTTTTGTCACCAGGGACCAAACTCTGGACCTTGTGCTTGTAAGGCAGGCAGCAGAACCACTGAGCTAAATCCTTGGCCCTGTTTTGTTTTTTAAAACAGTGTCTCACTTTGTAGTGCAGGCTGGCTTTGACCTCACTCTGTAGCCCAGGCTGGCCTCTTGCCTCAGCCTCCTAAGTGCTAGGATTACAGGTTTGCGTGCCATTATGCCCAGCTATTGTTTTGTTTTCTTTCTTTCTGTTTCTTTCTTTCTTTTGTGAGTTCATTCTTTCTTTCTTTCATTCATTCGTTCTTTCTTTTAGGGAGGGTCTCACTTTTTATTTCACGCTGGCCTTGAACTCAACTATATATAGTTTAGGTTGGTCTCCAATTCAAAGGGATCCTCCTGTCTCAGCCTCTTGAGTGCTGGGATTACAGGTGCCACCATGCCTAGTAATTTTTTGTTGTTGTTGTTATTTTTTGAGACAGGGTCTCACTGTGTAGTTGAGACTGACCTGGCACTCACTATGTAGCCCAGGCTGGTCTCGAACTCACAGCAGTCCTCCTGCCTCAGTCTCCCAGAGTGCTGGGATTACGAGGGTGTGCCACCACACCCGTCTGGTAATTTTTTTTTTTTTAATTCATTCATTGTGGTAGACTTTTTTTTTAGTTTAGTAGCAGAATTTTAATTTAAGAAACAAATGTTTGAATTCCATTAAAAAAAGAAACAAAGGTTCATAGATAGATTTTAAAACTGTTCAGATATGTACTTTAAAAGCATGTTATGTGGGATGGGGATTTAGCTCAGTGGTGCCACGCCTGCCTTGCAAGCACAAGGTCCTGAGTTCGATCCCCGGAACTAAAAAAACAAACAAAAGTCATGTATGTCAATTTAGACAAACTTTTTTGAGTAGCAGTTCTAAATGGTAATCATTTTTCTTCCATTTAGATTATTTCCAGAAAGAAGAAAAGAGCAAAGTACGAGAAGGCTGAGGTAAATGGATTACTTATATTATAAAAAGGCCCTGTTGAATATCTTACCCCTGGTAATTGGACCTTGATGGATCTGTTATACTGCAGCCCCTTTATACTCCAGTCAGGGTCTTAGGATCCGTGTTAGAATGAGCTTTTACCTAACTCTTACTGCATGAGTTCCATGGTGGTCCACCTGTATCGATTTATGCTTCATAAAACTCAGAGAATCTTTTTTTTTTTTTTTTTTTAATACCAGGGATCGAATTTGTGTCCTTGTGCTTGTGAGGCAGGCGGCAGAACCACTGAGCTAAATCCCCGGCCCTAGAGAATCTTTTAGCAGCATAGTGTAGTGGAGTCACATTAGAGAAACTCAAGGTGACCAATGAAGTGCTATGATCGTCTGTATGCCAGTGAAGAATCGTTTAAGATGAATGTAACATCATAGCACATCTGTCACATACTACTTGTACACTGGCGTGAAATCAGTGCTACACTGTTAGTGTGTTTAAGTCACTCAGAATTGAGTATGAACACATTTGTCCTTGACTTTATCAATAACATTTTTCATATGCTCCACATTTCACGTGTATTTATTTCCAATCATGTATGTGCCACTTAATTAATATTTTAAAAAATAAACAGAAACGTGAAAGAACATTTTAAAAAGGTAATAGAACCAGCAACTAACATTTTCTTCCGTTCCATAGATCATCTGGCTTACCTGATTTGCTGGCCGCAGGACTAGGGACCTCCCCCCGACCGAACTGTGACACAGGCAGAATGCTGATGTGGTATTAAGGGTTTGACCACTTATCAGCTAAACAAGTAACATTACTTCTTTAAACCTCTGTTTCCACATCTGCAAAATGGAGATGATAGCACGGCCTGCTGTAAGGATTAAACAAAGTAGTTTGTGTAAAGTGTGGGTCCACTGCTCGCCACACGCTGAGAACTTTGCCAACAGCAGTAGTCATCGCTGTCTCAGTTCTGCCTGTAACTGTGATTTTTAATTCTGAGCTTCAAGTTCTTCACCTATAAATTGAAAGATTATAGTAGTGAATTTGTTCTTGCTAGCTATAAAAATAGCTAACATTTAGTATGAAACTGGTCTTAAAGAGCTAGCTTACTGCTGCTTTCCCCAGTCGCTGTGGCCATCTTGTTGCAAGTAGCGGCTTGGATTATGCACTCAATATGTGTTTCTTTGTAATAAAACTTTTGTTCTCACTTAAATGTTTTATAAAATGTGAAAAAGATTCATCTTGTTTTCACTTTGGTTTTTTTAAAAACTCCTCATGAACAAAGATTGAAACATTATTTAAAAATTTCTTCTGTACTTTTTCCCCCTGTCCGTTTCAGATAAAGGAGATGGGTGAGATGCATAGAGAACTCAGTGCATAACTGCTGTCATCTGAAGATTAGCCCCAAAATGGGGAATGAGCAAAAGGGTTACTAATGCCTGAACGTGGGACAAAAAGATCTTTGAGTATTGCTATGTTGTTTGTGAACGTCACATATTTGTAATAGAGAAACCTGTACTCAGAATATAAGCAGCTTGAAATTGGTATTATCAATCTTAAAGTCTGACCACAAGTGTCTTACATATGCAGGTCTAATGTTAAAACCCCTTGGACTGCAGAGTTAAAATATGTGTAATATTGAACAGTATGTTCAGTATGCTTCCATACTAGAGTCTGAAAGATCACTGTCTTGTGATTGAAAGCTGCCCTTCTAGTTATGTTGAGTCTTGTTCTGTACATATAAACTTTTTTTATGAAGTGTGAAATAAAACATTTTTAAACTGAATTTGCTAACTTTGGATCAAATTTCCTAGTATAGCTTAATAAATTAAAAACTAATAGCCGGGTGTGGTGGCTCAGGCCTGTAATCCCAGCACTGGGGAGGCTGAGGCAGGAGGATTGCTGTGAGTTCGAGACCAACCTGGGCTACATAGTGAGTTCCAGGTCAGTCTCAACTACATAGTGAGACCCTGACTCAAAAAACCAACCCAAACCAAACCAAACAAAAAAAAACTTATTACGAGAGGCCAGGCATAGTTGGTATATGCCTGTGACCTCAGCACTCAGGAGGCTGAGTTATACCTATAATTCCACCATTTGGAGCCCGAGGCACAAATTCAAACCCAGCCAGTGACTTAAGACTCTGTCTCCAAAAAAAGAAAAAGGCTGGAGAACTGGGTTTGGTGAGACGCATCTGTGGTGTGGCTTGTGTCTGGGCCGCCACCCCAAGCCTCGTGCAGTCATCTATGGGACTATTTCAGAGGCAGCTGGATTTGGAGTGTATGATGCTGGGATTGATTCACGGTGCAATGCTTGGATTAAGGGTGTGAGTGCTACCTACTCTAAGCAGCCTGGGTAAGATATAAGGGACAAAGAGCTGTGGTCATCCCTTGCTTGCTTTGCTACCTTCTGCCTGCCATGAGCTATTTCTCCTCTGTGATGCTTGTTTGCCATGCTACTCTCCCTTGGAGCCAGCTTATTATGGACTGAAACCTCTCCATCTGTGAGCTAAATAGACCCTTCCTCCTTTAACTTTGGGTGTCGGGTATTTTGTCTCAGCAACAAGAAAAGTAACTAAGATACCTGTAATCCCAGCACTTGGGAGGCTGAGGCAGGATCACTCCCAAGTCCAAGGCCAGCCTGGACTACAGAATGGGTTCGAGGCCAGTCAGAAGTACATAGTGAGGTTGGGGACTTAGTTCAGTGGTTCATGCCTGTATAGTGAACCTTCAAGTTATATCCAGAATTTTAGTTTTAACTTACGAACAAAGTCTTGAGTAAGGATCCAAATGCTGGCCACTTGTGCTTCTAGCTGGTCTCAGATACAGATTTAACCCTTAAAGGGTTCTAGAAGGAACCATACAACCTTTTCCTGTATGGGGTTGAGAAACCCTGGGCCAGTGTCTCTCTAAGGACACAGATCTGCCTGTGTAGAGGAGAGACTACGAAGGCTGTGTAGAGGAGCCTGAGCCTCCAGTTCACCAACTTGAGTTACAACCAGCCCTTGCGAATGAATTGAGTTTGTAAGTTGTAATGTAGTTGCAACGTTCTGGGAGGTGGATTCAAGAGAAATCAAAGTTAAGCCCACCACAGGTAACTTTGTGACCTAACAAGACTTTGTCTCAAAATTTTTTAAAAAGGGGACAGGCTGGGGATGTGCTCAGTGTGAAGGCCTTGGGCGTAACTCCCAGGATATAAAGACAAATGGCAGCAAGATGGTGGGGTGTGGAGGGGGATGACTGGGATGGCTAAAAAAAATCTTAGAGCCAGAGGTGTCCTTCATTGGTAAACCATAGTGGTTTAGCATGCATAAAGCCCAGGTTTTATCCCTAGGACACACAAAAAGGCTTTGAATGCTACTACAAATTGAACATTCATGATCATTTCTGTTTAATATAAAATGTATAATACAGTGCAGTGATGGCAAAACTTTTAGGGCTTTTTTGTTTTGTTTTTTTGAGACAGGGTTTCACTGTGTAGTTAAGGCTTGCCTTGAACTTACTATGCATAGTCCAGGTTGCCCTCTAATTTGCAGTAATTCTCCTGCCTCAGCCTCCCGAGTGCTGGGATTACTTACAGGTATGAGCTGCCATGCCCAGCTTTTTTTTTTTTTTTTTTTTTTTTTTTTTGTCTTGGT